GGGACTTGAGCTGCAATTTAGGAAATTGCATGTCCCTAGTTGCAATTATGGAAAATGGGTCAATTTGCAAATTTTGAAATAAGGACTTGTTGTGAGATTTGTTAAATTGGAAGGGTTTGCTTATAATTTTAGTCTTGGGTCAAAGTACAATTTTTAAATGAGGTTTTTAAATACAATTTTGAAAAGGTTTTAAAATTGTTTTAAATGGGTTTTGACCTATTTTGACTAAAGTTTTAATTTTGACCTAAATTAAAATCTTATTTAAAAATTGACGACTATTTATATTTTCGTTGAAATATGATTTTAACTTAAATACTAAACTTGACCCTAAGTTGAATTTTATTTTATTTAGGAATGCTACCCTAAATTAAAATATTAATTCAATTTAATTTAGAGTTGGATTCTAATTTAGCATTTAATTAAAATTTGATTTTAATTAATAATTCACTCCGAATATATTCTAGAAGTTAGAATTGGATTCCAATTTGACATTTAATTAAAATTTTATTTTAATAAAATTGTCTTGCCCTTAAATTTTTCTTTAAATTAGAGTTAGACTCTAATTTGATGTTTAATTAAAATTTGATTTTAATTAAACGGGCTTGGACTAAAATCTTGGAATTAGAGTTAGAATCTAATTTTGTTATTTAATTAAAATTTGATTTTAATTAAATTCAACCGCATTAAGTTATAAAATTAGAGTTGGACTCTAATTTGATATTTAATTGAAATATGATTTTAATTAAATAGTCCTACCCTATAATTATGGAATTGAGGTTTGACTTAAATCGATACTTAATTAAAATTTGATTTTAATTAAATATGCCCCATAATTAAATTAATTGATTAATATGATTAATTAATTATTTAATTGTTCTGATCCGTTTGTCTAAAAAAGTTTAGACGACCTTAACAACGAGATATTCAAGTTTTTTGTAAGACAAAAAGGCAATACATCCTATCATAGAAATTCAATATTTTTTTAATGAGATACATTTTTTAAGATTGAAAATGAATTTATTGTACAATGATTTCAAGGTATGAAAATTCGAAAGGAATAAGCGTAACTTATGAACTATGTCATTTTTAGTATTTTTGTAAATTGTTTTATATTTTTTTATCATTAAATCCACGACAAAAAAACTCAAAGTTTGGGGTCGATTAAATTGTGCCGTCTCAAAAAGAATTTCCTGGCTCCGCCCTGCAAACCAGGTTTGAATTATCATGTAGATGTTTTTATAAAATATTTTTCACAAAATTATTTTTGAGTTAAAACTTCTCATTTTGCTCATTAAGAACAATTTTATCAAGTTAATTGGATGAAATAATTGTTTTATTAGTGGGCATTCATAAAGATAGATTACAAAATGTATGAATAGTTCATTTTCCTTTATTTTTCATTATGTAAATGTTTTATAAAAAAAAAATTATATAAATTTTTTTATGGGCTTAAAACTCTTTAAAATTCTTAGTTAAATACTCAACTTAACAAGGTTAATGATAATATAACTCGCCAATTTAGTTTTTGACTAAAAATGAAGATGACAAGAAGATGAAAGTCACTTTTTCACTACACCTTTCCTCAAATCCGAATTTACTTTTATTTTCTCTCAAAATATCTTTTATGTCAAGTTAAACTTTAGGGAATAGCAATAGTGCAAAGAAGAAAGGTTTTTTTATACATTTTGATCCTTTATATTCAAAAAAATCAAGGTACCAAGAGGTGCAAGTGGTTATTTCATTTTTAAGTTATGATATTTCGTTAAAAGTATGAATAAATGGGAACCTCTAAGTATGATGCTTCAACACTACTATAGTTTGAATGATTATTTTTCGACTTTACGTGTTATGATAATTCTATAGTGTTAGAAATCCATCTGTATGTGATGGTATGAATCTATAGTCCGAATTTTTTAATTTGATAACGAAATGTACCGATGATATCTATTGAGTTTCAAACTTATGGGTTAATTTCCTTTCTACAGGTTGATTTGATTTGCTTGGATGTAGATGATGTTAAATGAAGATGCAACATGCTATGGAGAAGCCGATAACTTATTATTTTTATTCGATTGTGAAATGTTTACATATTTTTCTTTACGTAAATAGATTTCTATAAACATCATTTATGACACTATTCTAAGAAGATTTTTATGAGCTATTTATGTTTTAAAATAGTTATATTTTAAGAAATTCACGTACAAGTTAACGTTCATGTCAAAACTGTAAGTGATAAGATTTAGTGTTGTTGTTTTTAAAATTTCAACTTCTGCCCTTGATTTTAAAAATTCGTAACTCAATTGCTATCTGTAGAATTTTGTATGTTATTTTAAGTAAGTTGTGCTGGTTTATCTTCCCATCTGAGTCATTAATGGATTTTGAGAAATATTTTAGTGCCTTATATGTTGTCAAAAGAAGCCAATTTTTGGATATGTCATATTATAAAAAGTTTCCTAACCTTTTTTAATATTTTATGAAATTTCTAGATTGATAACTATGTAAACGAATTTATTTAGAACCCGTCATTTAGTTGGTAAACATATATATGCTATTGTCTATGTAATAAAATATATTTTTTAAAAGGAAAAAAACATAATTCTTAAATTTTATCTTCAGTTTTTCGATAAAAGTATAGTTAATTACTAAGTCTATGGATAAGTTACAATTATTCAAGTGAGAATTTTGTCCATTTGGGCTAGAGGGTTACAACAAATCTCCTCAACATGAAAGCTTTTAATTCACTCCAGGTTTCTATATGTCTCTCATGATTTCTCCTCCTATTTCTCACCAATTGACCCCACCATATTATTACATAATCAGTGAACTCAATTGTTACTAGCTTCACCTTTTTCTCCTCAGAATAGTTAAGGAAATCGAATATCAACTCTAGTTTTTTCTCTCACTTAAAATAAACTTCAAGATCGTTTCTACCTTAAAATGTTTCATCTTAATACTATCTAATATCGATCAACTCAATCTCCATCTCAGCCTCTAGACTCCATCTATACCTTCTTCATGCCTATCAAGACTATTCCTCATCCTACCCACTTTAGCCATCGAGATTTTATCATCCTCATTCTCACTTTCTACTTCGTCCCCATCATCAAATTCAACCCTAGGGATAGGATCACGCCTATCTTGCCTCCTAATATTAGAAACTCTTTTTGGTTGTTCCATTTGTAAGTTTGCAATCACCATATCTTACCTATTCATTTTCCATAATTTTTCCAAACCCCACATTCATCTGCTCAAATTGTTGTTGCTTGGCTTTAAACATAAAGAATTGATTTTTCTCTTCCCTAGATGTAGAATCTCCCTTGTCAAACATTTTGATAACTAGAACAAGTAACCCCATGTGTTTTACGCTCTCAAGTGTTTCATTCTATGTTGTCTTTTTTCGATTTTAACTCACCACTCTTTCCTTTTTCTCTCTATACTTTCTTTATCAAGTTCTCTAAGGAACTAACTAAACTCAATCAAGAATTGAGTCTTTGTATTGTTCAAATTTGCAAGAACTCAAGAAACGAGAAGGATAACAGATTCCAGAAAGGATTCAAGAAGGAAATATCACAAGAATGAAAACACCACAAGAACTCTAAGAAAAAAATCTTAAAATTGGTTTATGCCCTTTTCACAACAAGATTGATTTTTAATGACAATTTATGTATCAAATGGTAATAAAGATGATATTTCTTGGAAAACAACGGCATAAGAATTCGAAAAATAAAAATTCTTGAAATTGAATTGTGTTTTTCTTGAACTTTTGAAGAATTCTTCAAATTGCTAAGATGATTATGACTTTTTCCTGGCCTTTTTTTTTTTTTTTGCATCTTTTTAATGGAATAAATCAATCACAAAATAAGAAACCAAAAAAATTTGTTTTGGTACATTGAGTTAAAGCACTAAACAATAATTTAATGTTCTTGGTATGATTTTTTACGTAAATAACACAGAATGTGATGAAAACTCAATGAAAAAAAATGCAAGAATTAGAACTGGAAAACAAATAGGACGACAAAAAAATAAATCCTAATTTTAAAACTAAAGTTCTGATACCAACTGAAAAGAACCCAATTGCATGGTATACCTTGAAGCCTATACAAGATTTGATACGAACCAAAGAAAGCTAAAATCAAAATTAAAATATTGACCCATTGATTTCTTGAATCAAGAATCAATATTTGAAGGGTTGAACGCCACAAAGATTGAAGATTTTTTGTAAGTTCAGATAGTTTAATTAATGAAGAAACTCGAAAAATAAAATGAAATTAGGCTATTATTTTGTGATGATCTAGCACCATGAACCAAGCCCATTTAAGAAACGAGCTATGAAAGCTCAACTCATTTATGAAAGCCCAAGCCACAAGTTAATTAAAAATCCAACAACTTAAGAGATTAAGTTTATGTAAATTTTATTACAAAGA